TACTGCGCACATAAAAGAACCCAATAGCAGGATAAAACAACCTTGTTGTTTAATTTAAGCAAACATGTACAAATACTCTTACTGGTGAATTCAAACAAATAATTTTTTAAATAATCATTATAAATTATCAACAATGAGCTTCTAATTAATCACCATACAACTACTTTAAATACAACCAATCGAACAAGAAATAGAGCAAAAAGAGTCACTGGCATTACTACTGTTGTAGCGGGTAATTTCTAATAATCCAACTTACATCTCTTTCTTCTCCACTTTTGTCATCAAGCTCAATGTCCTTTTGAAGAGGTCGTATGAAAATTTTTGCTTGGCCACATAACTCCTTCAGCCTTTGAGGTGTGTGTGGGGGAAGAATTCTATGGAATCCTGCATCCTCCCCATTACCTCTCTGAAACAACAGCAAGTCAAAACCCCCGACCTCACTCAATTGAGGAAATCGTTGGATGATTCCATTAAACACAGAGCTTTTGTTATACCCAAAGGTAATACTGGCATCACCCAAGCCGGCATTTGCTAGTGCCGTTCTTTCTTTCACGGAAATTGGTGGACGTTCGACCCCTTCCTTAGCAGCTAAACACATAAACTTTAAAGTACATGTGGCATTTCGTTTGGACTTTGGAAGAGAGCTGCCAGAGGAACGTGCTCGTTTTGCATTGTTTCTATAGCTGAACAGTCTGCGCTGTTCAGCAGCAACAGAAGCAGATACACAAGCAGCTGGAGAAGGATTTGTATTCTGTGTGCTGACTGAAAATAATCAAAATTAATAATCATTCAGACAGAACCTTCTGAACTGCCAAAAATCTCTGACATAATAATTATGCACCTATACGGGTGATTTACTCTGAGTAAAAAGAAAAAAAAAAAGAAAAATAAACAAAGGTAAGAGTATTGCAAGCAAAAGCTCTAGGAAAAATATTTAATTCTACGATTGATGCCTTCCAACGTACAGCGCGCATGAAGTGATCAAGATGGAGATGACGTACACGTAACTTGCGTCAGCGCGCGAAAAAACTAACCTCTTCATACCAAAGGTTGCCCGATTCTTACTTGGAGGTGGTGTTTCTTCCAGAAAAGAAAGACGCTCAGCTACCCTCAAGAGGGTAGCTCTCACCTCACCTAAACTAGCAGATTGTGCGGCAGCATCGATATCTTGCCGACCGGCGGCCATGATCGTCCCCCGACGGCTAGGGAGTGGAGAAAGAGTAAGTTGGATATTAGAAATTACCCGCTACAACAGTAGTAATGCCAGTGACTCTTTTTGCTCTATTTCTTTTTCGATTGGTTGTACTTAAAGTAGTTGTATGGTGATTAATTAGAAGCTCATTGTTGATAATTTATAATGATTATTTAAAAAATTATTTGTTTGAATTCACCAGTAAGAGTACTTTTACATGTTTGCTTAAATGTCACGTCTTGACAAAATGGCGGTCACACGTGTCTTTCTCCTTCTGCCGGTCTTACTCAACTCCAACACTGATTTTCATTATTTTCACGGCTCTCACTACCGCGAACGGCTCAGCAATGTTACCGAACATCTATTTATCGACGATAAAACAAACCTAATAACAGATTCAGCCTTCTTACTCCTCTTCAATATAGATGCATTGCATGATTATCATCTCCGCCATCTTGTTCATCGACCAAGGAGGAAAGCATACCTGGCCACAAGAACTGTCTATTACTCGGCCACCGCAGCTACATTTCAACTAAATCGACTGGCCTTATGCGGAGATATTAATCCTAATCCTGGACCTTGCTTAAATGGCAATTACAGTCAGCATGTGAGTACTTCATGGTCTCGATCAATTCCTCGATCAAGAAATATCAACAATACGTATGATGCACGATCCTCGCAGTAGATAGCGCTATTTAAGCAATAGCGAAAATCAGACCTGAAAAAAATCAGGCTTGTACGGGATTCGAACCACTGACCTCTGCGATACTAGTGCAGCGCTCTACCAA